CTTAAGCATGGACCTTCCGTAATGCGAGAATGCTGTATGCACTATTCACTCCGTCCTCCAAAAGCTCCACGCCTGTGAGGATTTGCATGTTCTTTACCCCTACTTCTTTTATGTCATCTAGTGCCACCAGCCACTAGGTTTCCACAATCCAGACAAGGCAGTCTTGTCCGGGTCCTCAGATTCACAGTTCATGCCTTCAAGTTGCACAAGTGGTCCCTTCACCGAGAAGGCTGTGCCTTGTGCATTTCCATCTGGATCCGTTGTTCTCCCAGGGGACATCTGGAAATGTCTGAGAGACATTTTGCTTTGTCCCAACTGGGTAGACATGCTCCTGGGATCCGGCAGGAAGACGTGAGGCATGCTGTTGAACACAGTACAGATGCCACAACACAGAATTATCTGGCCCCAAGTATGAGGAGTTCCCAGACAGACAAACCCTGCTCTAGATAACCTCTAACTGTCTGTCTTTCAGGGTTCCACTTAGTGGTGACTTCTGGGCAGTCTTCTTTGTGCTCCATGACTAGATCAGGCACCTCAAGTCACCTTGTCTTTCTACCTGGTAGCAGTTAGTATCACAACTGTAATTAGTTCATTTTTCTATTTAAGTATGTGAATAACCCAGTCAAAGGAACAGCCTGATGACCTACTGAAAGAAACTTATGTTACTGATAATTGAATAGGAAAACTCAAATTCCAGAGGATGGTGCAAATATTTTTATTCCCCTTAGTGCTGAGTCCGTTTTCAGTGGATTGCCCATTCTACCATTTTTTACACCTCTCCTCCCCAAGAGTCCAGATTCATCCGGGTCGCCTCCTTTGGTTAATTCATCTCACTCTGATCTCCCTTGAATCCAAGGCCCAAGTTGGCAATTCCAGTTTTCCCCTGAACATCATGTTCATCAGAGTAAAACACTGACAGCCCACAAAGTCTTTAAGAAATACTTTTGCTATCAAGAATCGCCTGTCATAGATCACTTTGATGTGTTTTTATGCAAAAGAAACTCCTACTTCAACAGGGCTTATACAATGGAGAGGAGGAAAGCCTGTTCCCCAATTAATTCCACCCTGCCACATGGGAAAGGGATTTAAGTGGGGGAGTAGGACCCACAAACATGGAAGTCAACAACAGCTTCAACCTTAACTCCACTGTCCTGAAGATTCTATCTTGACACTTCCCTACTCTGTCCTCTCTCCCTTCATGACTTACAGGCTGCCTCATTTGAGGCCTTACACCATGTATCTTATTTAGATGAACTTTCTCTAGACTCCGTGGTATACTGTGGTTTCTTTATGCCTAACACTTGTCACAACAATATACTGTAATGGACTGTTCTGGTGTTTCTTCCTATGCAATTGTGAGCTCTTGTGGTTGAGGAACCATGTCTTGAGTATTTTAGATCACTAACATATTGGTTTAGCACCTAGTATGAGTACAATGACCTTGTTTCCATTCCAAAAGGGTAGATATTTATTAAAGAGACTCATCCTCTTTTACAGCTGAGAAGAAAAATTTTACCGAAGTACATGACAATGAAATTCTGGTGTGTTTTGAGAAACCCTTTAGCTGTAAATCTCCAAAGACAATGGACCAAGTAGAGTACTAAAACCTATTCCATTCTTTGAACTGACAATTCATAGTATTGGAAATGCAATTGGCTAAAAGAGATATGGAAAAACACATCATGGGTATCAAATAAATACGAGGTTGGAGCAATCAAATAGGATTTGTACTATTTTTTGTAAATAAAATGAGTATCTAGCATTGGCAAATGTAGGCACATAGCGTTCTCATTCATTTGTGCTCACAGTGTAAATCTTTTAAAGTTTTTTAAAAGCAATTCAGCAGTGACAAGACACTCAGGAAAACAACCAATACGAACAACAAGAATTGGCTTGTTGTCGTTTATGATTCAGAAGCACCACAGCTCTTCCTTTCTGCTTCTTCTTCCCTTCCCTTTCCTGGAGCCCAAGAAGCGACAGGAGCTGGAGGCAGAGGGGCTGAGGCGGCGATGGCAGGAAGCCTAATGAAGCAAATGTAATCTTAGCGGTGAACCCAGAGAGTCAGGAAATCAGCCTGGCTAAGCCAGCATCGGTCATGGTTTCAGGCCTATTCAGTGCTGCAAGTCCTTCAAACAGAAAGTCATCCAAAACAAAGCGAAACAAAACACACTGGGGATAGAGGTTAATTAAATACATCATTAGAATTTGGCTTCTTGGAAAGTCCTAGGGGGAGACCGAAAATAAAAATTTCCACTTACACTTTTTTGGTTGGTTGTTTTGCTTCAAGGATTCTAATACCCCCAACTTTACCTTTTAAAAGGCAATGATACTTCAATTTTGAAAAAAAATAATAAAATAAATAAAGGCCCACGTGAAAACCTTTGTAAAAGTTATCATTCTTTGATAATTGCTGGCGACTATCCAGGTGCTTTTCCAAGTTTTACAGTTAACTTGTCAACTAGTCTTCATCTCTGAGGCTCTTGATGCAGTGAAACGTGGCAGGCATGTAATGAGCACCTACTATCTGCCAGTCACTGTGCTAGGTAATAAGCATATAAAAATCAGTGCAGCATCATCCCTGTCCTTACAGAGCTCATGGCCCAGCAGAAACGATAGGCACATGTAGAAATAGTGACAGTAAAATGGGAGCTGTGTCAGAAATGACTTAGGTACCATGTACCACAGGAACACAGAGGAGAAAGCAGGTGGCACCACCTGGAATGCCCTACACAAAAAGAACTGATGCCTAAGCTTGACCTTGAAGGAATGGCAGATTACCAAGCAAAATGGAAAAGGGAAGCAGAGTCCAGACCCAGACAACATGATGCCCAGAGAGATCTGGAAAAGACCATGGAGAATTCAAGGACCAGCAAGAGGCTTGGTCATGCAGGAACTGATGAATTTGAAAGCATGGTGGATTGAGATGGAATTAGAGTGCCATGACTCTTTCTTCAGTCATGAAGAAATTGCAAAGTTTTAAGAATAAAGGACATGAGCCTGAAAAGAGCTTCACATGTGCTATCAGCAGGAAGCCACTTCCTGACAAAAATCTCAGGATTCCACCACTCTCCCCAGATGCTCTGAGCACCAGGATGAAATTTCATACACAGTATGCATAGATCCTTTCCTCTTCCTTCCTGCAGCAAACTTGAAGGGGCATGGACAGAGCGACAACTGAAACAGGATGACCTTGGATTTAGAACTGAAAGGATTTAGAAGGGGAAAACCTGAAGGTAATAAATACTTCTGGGTTTGCAAAGCTGTGCATCCTGGGTTGATCTCCAGCTAGTGAACTGATTTCCTATGGCTAATTCTAATTCAGTAGGTGGCTGTCAAAACCAGTGTTTAACTTCTGCTCTTAGAGAAATGTTTCCGGTGGGATGACAATATGAAGCCACGGGGGCCAATGACTGAGCAGCCTGGAGAGCTGGGTCATCAGCCTCAGGCAGATGGAAATCTGACTCCTGCTTTTGCCCTCAATTGCTCTGCCATCTCAGGCATACTGCCTACACTGTTTACATCAATCCAGTTTTGTTATTGAAAGGACAAATATATAGCACATGTGGTGTGCAATAACTCTTGGTTGATTAAATTAACCCAAAATATTACAGTTCTGAAACTTGGAAAGGTGATGTTTACATTTTATAGTGGCTCCAGTACCCATAGTTGATCCTCTGATCCACTGGATCCACAATAATCCTTTGAGCTGAATCAAACAAGGATAGTTATCCTCACTTTTATAAGGAGGCAGGCTCAGAGAGCCTAAACATAGTTCCCAAAGGTTGAACAGCAAAAACAAAGTAATGCTGAGAATGGATTCCACGTCTTCAGGCTAGGCTTAAGTGCTTTATAATGTATCATCAATTCTTTGTTCTTTCTTTCCTTCCATGATTATTTATTACTTCCATGATCAGCTAGTTCCTTGGATGAATACAGTATTCTAAGGATAAGGATAAGCCCACAGGCATGTTCTTTGTGATTACCCTCCTCTCCGTAGTACAGGGACAATAGCTTATTTAAGCCTCTTAGTGGAAACTAGTAGAGAGTCTGGCACTAAGTGCTTTTTCAGTGGACAGTAAGTGGGATTTTTGTTGAATGGGTAAGTCTAATGCAATGTATCTCATGATACCTGTCCCAAGAGTCATGGGAATTGAGCAGGAAAACCTCTGCTTTGCAGAACCAGAAATGTTCAGTAATGCATAGACTTTGAAGTCAAATAATCCAGTTTTATATCCCAGCTCTGTGTGCCTTTGGGCAGCTCCCTTCACCTCTCTGAATTGCAATGTCTTTATCTGGAAACGCAGCCAGTAATATTCGCCTTCAGGACACGTTTCGAGAATTAAAGAACACTGCCTGTGGAAAGCACCTGGCATAGCAGCCTGGCCTATGTGAGATGGTCAGTCAATGGTATCAATTACCACTGATGCAAGGCTACAGGGAGAGTAGCATCAGTTGGAGTTTTACAAGTGTGGCAGGTATGCAGTGAGGCCATAACCAGAATTATGGCTGGAATATCCCACCAGGTCAGGCCACACTCTGAACATGGTTCTTTCTCAGACTGAGAGACCCTCTGGGGCCCTTCACTTGCCCACTGTCACAGGTGGCAGGACAAAGCCCTGGCTTGCAGGGTGGCTGAGTTTCACTCTGGGGCAGAGTTGTGCTGACTTGAACCCAGTACAACTTGTACCAGTGTCATTAGGTCATTAAGGTTCAGAGGTCTGCAGGCGCCACCAGAGTGAGCTTAGTTTTTTATCCTCCTTGCTACAAGGCCAGAATCACACACAGACAGAAGTGTAAACACATTCCCCAAGACTCTGTTTGCTTTCAAATTGGCCAATATGTCCAGGCCTGCTGCCCCCATGCTTCCACGTTCCACACCAAGCCTCAAACACAGGAAGTAAAAACAAGTGAAAGCTTCAATGTTTACTGATTCAAAGAGAAGCTTTGAGGTTGCAACCCAGGACTTTTAGCATTTTTAGTAAGAACTTGGACTGTAACAATTCATTCTCTGTATAGTTTTGACAGATATGGAATGTTAAGAATATATATATTCTGAACTTAGAAATATAAAAGAACTAAAAACTATAAACCCAATAATGAAAAGAATGGAAATAATGTTGACCAATAGTGGGACAATGGTTAAGTGAAATATGACATACCCAGATACTGGAATATATGCAGTCCCTAAAACCATGTTAGTTTTAATGACATCAGAACATGTCTAAACTGTAACATAAAAACTTTGCATACAGCATGATTCCAATTATTAAATATATATATAATACATCTACTTAATGAATATCCATATTTATACAATAAATGCTTATCATCACTGTATTAAATATGTTTTAAAAATATAATAGCTTAAATAACTTTCAATCACCTTGGCCTTTGAAAGAGTTATAAGACAGATATTCAATAAGAACTTAGTTAATAAGCATTTATCCCTAATGAGGTTCTAGTTATCTCCACAGACCTGAAATGGTTAAAAATAGATGAACAAATCATGAGTCAAGGGGCGACTTTCTTGCCAAATATTTGAAGAACAGCGTCATATGGGAAGAAAACAAACTGGGTTGTGAGTTAGGAAATCGGTGTTACTACTAACTCTGCCGCTAAAGAGCTGCTGACCTCGGCTAGTTTGTTTCCTTTCTCTGTTTCTTGGTTTTTCCACTTGTAAAATGAAGTGAAACCGTTCCTTCACACATTCATTTATTCAAGAAATTTCTTTTACTATGTAGGAACAAGGGCCAGAGCAGTGGACCAAAGAGATGTGACTTCTGCCCTCAGGGAACTTAGGTTCTGGTGGAGAAGACACGCCACAGACTACTAATCAAGTAAATAAATAGATTCAGTTGGTATAAAAAAACAATCAGGCAGGGTAAGGAGAAAGAGAGCAGTCCAGAACGTCTCAAAGGAGGGGATTTGTAGGTAGGTGGCTAATGGAAACCTAGCCACAAGCTACATAGTTGTCCGGAGGGAGGGTGTCCATGAAGCAAGTGCAAAAACCCTGTGGCAGGAGTGCGGCTGGAGGAGAGAGAACCAGGCAAAGGGTGCTAGAAATGAAGTGAGTTCTTGGTCACTGCATTTACCACACAGAGTCCACCAGAGAGCCTGTTGCAAGCTCAGACGCTCCCAGTGTACTTGAGATTCAAAGTCCAAGCCTCCGCACAGGGAATGCATTTACAAAACTTCATCCGCCCCACCATGGGGCTTTGAAGGCCCGCTGTGCAACTATTAGCTGATCCCACTTAACAAACAGTGACGCAGTCACCAGGCATGTTTGTGCCCAAGCAGGTGATGATTTTCTCTCCGCTGACTCCAGTCAAGGACTTTCTGCTTCCAGATTTCAGGCTCCAGGTGACGTTGGGCACAGGGGGTCAGATGTCAAGTGGAACAGGTCACGCGTTGGGCAGGTGACATGATCTGTACTCAGCTCGAATTTCAAAGAGCCAACTTTTCCGCCATGTGTCAAGCACACAGTTAGTTTGAATGCTGCCAGCACAGTAAGATGATTCATCAATTTCCAAACCTTGGGAAAGGAAACTATTGTTTAGATTTTCAAAATATGTTTTCCTAACCCCTCCAGAGGTAGCTATAACTTGAGAGGATAAACTGGGAGGAAGGTAAGGGCAAAAAAAGAAAAGCAGTTACTGCCATCCATGATTATAAGTCTTACTATTTATTGTGCACTAATAGTTGCATTTCCAAAGTTGAGCAGCCTGGAAAGACATTAATTAGTGAAATAACAAGGCAATTTGCAGTCATCAAAAAAATTCAAACTACTTCAACAGACCAAACATAGGTAACCCAGTCTCATTACATTTTGTCTTTTTAATGGATGAGGAAACTGAGGCAGGGAACATGAATGGATCACGAAACAGAACGTTTATCCAAAGCTTTGTAGAAATCAGATTGTCATAAGGACAACAGGGCATTGGGACAATTTGTGGAGATGTGTCAGAGCAGAAAGATGTGAAGGCAAGAAGATTATTAGGTTAACTTCTCAGGAACACTATCAGCTTTGACATGGGATCAAACCTCTGAGTCTATTTCCCTATCCGGGAAATGGGACGGTGAACCCCTGCCTGACATGATTGTTCTGCAGAATAAGTGAGAAGCAGGTGTGCTGGCATGGTTTGTGACATGAATGGATGCTCTACAGATTGCAGCAGAAGTGCCATTCAGGGAAGAGGAACAAGCTCAGCATTGACCGAGTGTTTGGGGCTCCGTGTTTCTGGATGAAGGGAAGCTAGGACCACACAGACTGCAGGCAATCCAACCCCTCTTAAGGAAAAATGTCAGAAGTCTAGCTGCGTTTCCAGTCCGAGGCATGAGAAAGGATCCTCGCAGGCCCCTTTTCCATGGAACAGCCGGGAGAGTCGGGAAGAGTGGGATGGATGTGTAGCCAGCATCCAGCAACGTGGCTCTGAAATGAGTTTGATTTGCGAGAGCATTTGTAGGCTTCCTTTTATGTGATGCAGCCTTTGTGACACAGCGAATCCTCATGACTGAACTGTCTGGTTCTGTGCAATTAAACCTTGCAGCATATATGTGGGAAGTGACATTCAGAAGTACCTTTATTTATTCACATTAGGGTAATACCTACATCAGACCAACATAGCACAGATGACCAGGAGTGTTTCTCCATGTCAGTCTCTTTTTTTAAAAAAAAAGGGGCCAACCTCTATGAAACAAAAGAGAAAAAGTTCGAGTAAAGATAAATCTGAGACACCATCTAGTAAAGGCCCTTTGCTTTTAAAAGTAAAGAAACAAAAGCAGAGAGAGTCACATTCCCCAGGACACAAAGCATTTACAGGGTTGAGTCAGGACCCTGAGCCAGGTCTTCTCTGACCGTACACGATATGGGCCCCTTGGATAAATCTTCCTATGTCTCAGTCAGTGTCCCAGAGGGTGGCAGGACTGTCATTTTCAGAGTCCTCAGTTCTGGCCACACAAAGAGTCCCATCCCTGAGAGAGAGGAATGAAAAATGATGTGGTTGGCCAAAGCAACCAGGTGTTTGAACGCAGGGACCTGATTTTACATCTTTCATCTGTAATTTTTGGTCGTGATCTCAGATAAACCAGTCAAGGTCACTGAGCATCAGTTTTCTTGTTCGTTAAATATGGATAATGGAGGCTTCTTCACTGGCTCATTTGAGCACCAACTTTAAGGAGAAGATTATATGTGAAAGACATAGGTAAAGAGAAAAAAAGCAAAGACAAGTTCCTGTTCTTTTTCTTCATCTGCTCCTTCATAAACTATTATTGTTATTCTTTTCATTCTTATTGTCATTCGATGGAAAGAAAATAGCCTCTCATTTCACCTAGTTCCTTATCACACACATCTGATTTGATCCCCTTGGGCTTGGGAAGATAAAGGCAGTCTTTATATTGGCATTATCTTTCTGCAAGCAGCATTCATCTTTCCAAACAGCTTGAACAAAGGCAGGAAGCGGCATGGTGAGAGGCTCTGGGTCTGTCGCTATTTATCAATTACTAGAAATAACATAAAGATTCCATGCTTTCCACACACCTTGCTTGTTGTAGAATGTACTATTCTATTCTATTGCCTTGAATTACTTGTGATAAGAAGGGAGTGTTTGTTAAATATTATCCAGCTAGTAATACCATTGTTTGCATAGGATACCTGTTATCCAAAGGTTTCACTTTACCTTACAAATGTCTCATTATCTAGAAGACACATCCCAGGGTCATTAATAACCAAACGTCCTGCACAGCCTTAGTTTCCAAAAGGGGCAAGATTCTGGTCATCTTTCTCAGGCCATTTCTCACCCCATTTCATCACATCCCGAAAGGGGGTTTTACTTTTCTATTGATCAGGAAGGCGATGAGGTCAGAAGAGGGGAGCTGGGCTCGGGAGATACACGCTCCTGCGGTGACGGTCACGGTGGTTATTACGGTGCTAACATTCTTGATCACCTGCCACCCGGCTTACAGTGCTTATGTCTTCACTGATTTGATTCTAGCCAAAATACTGGTTAGGATATTTTTGATGTAGGTAGGAGAAGAACGAATAAAAAATGGTGTGAATAGAAGAAAATACCATTATCTCACCTAGAACACTTGTGGTAGTCGGATACTTCCTGGGCTGGCTCCACAATCTTGGGATTCTGCCATCTTCAGCCTGCCAGCATTTGCTTTCCAGCTTTCCTCTGAATGAGCACAAGGTGACTATTGTGGTTCCTCACATAATCATGTGCAAAATTAGAAAAGAAGAATAAATGTCACTTTGTGAGTCCCTTTTCAAGAATGAGGAAAATTTTCCTGAAGCTCCCCAGAGGACTGGGTCTCACTGACCTGTGCCCATTACTGAGTCATTCACAGGCAAGGGGAAGGGGGTGGAAAATTGCCACGACTGGCTTAAACTGGCCAGTGTGTATGCCCTGTGCATGTGCATGCACACAGAGCTGAGGGAGGACCCAGGATCCCTTAAAGCAGAAGAATGCCCTAACATGATCAGGGGCCCATTAGAGAGGAAAAAGGGAAAGACTGAACTGTCAGGTAAGTAGCCATTGCTGGCCCTGCTTTACCAATAAAGAAGCAGAGGTCCAGAGTAGATATGAGCTCCATTAGTCAGGGTACACCAACTACTGTGACAAAGGACTTTAAAATATCAGTGGTCTAATAAAATGTTTTCTCACTCATGTCATAGGCCACTGACAGTTATTGGGGGTGGGGGGCAGGACACTTCTGCCCATGGGGGGACTGAGGCACCTTCTGCCTGTGAGTCCACCCTCTTGAATATCCTTGGGGTCCTCCCGTTAACTGGGGACAGAGAAAGAACAGGAGGGTTGTCTACTGAAGATTGATAGGTGCCAGGCCTGAAAATGGTACATATCTCTCAGCTCACTTTCCATTGGCTGTAACTTGGCCACCTGGCCACACCTAACTTCCAGGGAGGCTGGGAGGTTAATGTGGCTGAGGATGAAAAGGAAGCCCTCTCCCCAGGTCGCAGAGCAGATGGCCCAGCTGGTATGTCCCGTGTGCCTGAACGCATGGCTGGAGCCCCACTGCCTCTGATCCTGCTGCTGCTCTGCCTGTGGGGCACTTTTAGAATTAGCTACCGATTCATTTAGCTTTCCTTTCCAGCTCTAACCATCTGTAGCCTAATCCCTGAGTCTATAAACTTCCCCTGTGACACTTACCCAGATCTTGCCTCAAGTCTCAATTTCTTTGACCTCTCAGTGACATTAGATTCATTGGCTCCATGTTGCAAAAAGACACTCTTTCTTCAGTGCTCAGATATCATTTTTTCTCTTGGTCCATTTGCTCTCAACACTGGCTCCTGTTCTCCCCCCAAATCCGACTCGTGCCTCTACTTCTCTCCCTGTGGAAATGGCTACTCACAGGGACAGCTCCATTCTGATCCTGGTGTATCTGCAATCTTTACACTGTAGCTCTGAGCCTCTTGCCTGACCATCAAGTAGTAATTCAGATATTACTATTGCTACGACTACTCTCATTTGTATTCATACTACTATTATTATTACCCCTACAGATGTCTTAGTATATTCCAGGTACAGTAAGCAGCACTTCGCCTAAATTACTTTAAGCCTCTCAAGAATCGTAGGGCTTTGTTTCATACCCTTATTTTTCAGATGAGAAAGCTGAAGTTTGAAGAAAAGAAATAGCATGCTTTTAAATGACAGAACAGGAGTTCAAAACTAGACAGTGTGACTCTGAAGCCCAAACTGTTAGCCCTTTTCTACAATTACCTTTGAAAGCGACATGACTCTGAAAGCTACATGCTGCAAGTTCCCTCTAAGCATCCCTGAGCCTGGTATAGAGCCAAACACATGGTAAGTGGAAACATGTGCCAAACCTAAATGCACACATTCAAAAGTAAGCAGATTTCTTCTCCAAAAATCCTACTATCTCCCTGATTCTCTCTCCATATGCCATTCTTTTCCTGTCTATATTCAAATTGAACCTCCTGGTTGACATATCCCTTCGCTTAGACCCCCTAAACAGTAACATTTATCAGCTGTTCATAATGTTCCAGGCAATGCTCTGTGCACTCTATCCCTATAAGGTAAATCTGATTATTATCTCCACTTACACATTGGAAATTTAAGCTTAACAATTATGTGGAGGAGATAGGGTAATAGCTTAGAAGTCTAATGCTACCGTCCACATTCTAATCCATGAAGTTCTATTGCCTGGGGCAGTACCACTAACTCTAGTATATTCCTTCCACAGTCTCTGAATGCTGTGTTTGCTCCTTACTCATGCCTATTGACAATCCCCAGAACAGATTCTCAATGGAGACAGCCTCCTCCCTAGGCTTTAATGAGCCTGCCCTATTTTAAATTCATTTTATTAACTACTAACACCTGAGTCTTTTCTGTTTCTGTTGGCTCTATTATCTGTCCTTACCTCGTCTGCCGATACCATCTTCCAACACCTTTACTCTTGGTGTAATGAAAGCAGAAGTTTCCCTGTGTTCCCCTACGTTGGATTTATCATTCTTTCCATGATTTAAGCTTTGTTAGGGGTATCAGGTGGGACTTTGAAAGCATCCTGCACACTAAGCTCTGAAAAAGGTGTTCCAGATCAGTGGAGCCCCATCCGGCAGGATGATTCTCATTGCTCCAGCAATTGCTTTCTGCTTTGCTGGCTCATGAGCGGCACCCAATCAATCTTCATGGGAGCCACATGATAGGTAAAAAGAACAAAGGAATTGAATTTATTCGATTATCCAACTACTATCACTCAACAAATTGAGTACTTACTATGTGCTAGGTTCTGTCACATTCCCTACCTGGAAGGATGTCATGAGAATTAAATGAGATTAAAATCAAGTCTTCAATAAAGTTTCTGTCACACAGGAAGTGAGCCATACATATGTAAGTCCAAATCCCATTTTTCCTTGAAAACAATCAATGTGTGAATGATTCAAAGACTCATTTCTCCTCTGGCATTGCTAAGCTGCACCTCTCCTCCTGGTACCTTGCACCTGCCTGGTACAGAGCTAAACACATGGTAAGTGTAAACATGTGCCAAACCTAAATGCACACATTCAAGAGTGAGCAGGACATAAATCAGGACTTTTTTGGATGCTCTCCCCCTCGCTTTTCCCCTTGGCCCACCGGCTGAGCGTTCTGGAACCAGCTCTGCTCTGTGTCAGTTCTGCCAGCTGTTGGTTTTGATCCCACCTACCAAATCTGCATTACGCTTTCCATTCAACACTGATTCAGCAAATACTTAGTAAGTACCTACCATGTCCCAGCACTGGCTGGGATCTGTGCGTGCAGCAGTGGGCAAGATAGATATGCACCTACACTTTAAGTAGGAAAGAGGCAGTAACAATTAAGTGTGAAAAAGGATAAGCTTGGGTGGTATGGAAGAACATTCTCAAAGCAAAGCACAGTATATGCATAACACAATATTCATCTTATCCCACTTGTCTCAGTTAATCCTCTTTTTCTTGTGTCCAGTTAAATCCTACCCTTTTTAGGGTGCTATTGGTTGTGGTTATAAGGAAAAAATTCAAGATGACTTAAATAATACAGGTTGGTTTTTAGGTTCACACAACTGAAAAGTCCAGAGATAACTAATTTTAGGAGGGATTTCACATGGTAAATCAAGATAAGACCAAGAATTGCTTTCTCTTCATTTTTCAGCTCCAGTTGATCAGCATGGGCTCCATTACTGTCAAGCTCCTCACCTAATGGTTCCAAAATGATGGGCATTGACCATTGAGGACGCATGCTTCCTAGTTTACAAAAAGCAAGGAGGAGAGCGTCAAAAAAAAGTCCTGACTTTTGTCCAATTTGCTCCCCTTAAGTCCAATAGCTGTTCTATGGGCAGGTAGAAGGATTTCCACCTGTATATTTCTAATACACAGAGCTTGTATTGACCATATGCCCCACCCCTAGACCCAGGGGTCAGCTCAGCTTTCCTAAAATATATGATCTGTCTGATAGAGGAGTTACATGCTAGGCATTGTGTGCACTCCTCAGATTTATGGTTACTGCCAAGTTGCTGTACAAACGGGATTCCAATCTCAGCTCATGCCAACAGAAAACAAGAGTTGCCATTTCTCCACAATCGCACCAACACTGGTATTAAAAAGTTATTTGTGTTAATACTAAAAGATGTGAAAAGGAATCTTGCTGTTTATGAACCATTTTTGTCTCCTTTTTCATAAATTTCCAGTTTAAATAATTTCTATAATGATTCTATACGTTGTTTTTCCTCCCTGGGTTTATTTTTTATACCAACCTTTCGCAGTGACATGTTTTGCAAACAATTTTTACTAGTCAGTGTCTTTCCATTTTGATGTTGGTCCACTTGTTATGTAGATGCTTTAAATTTCAAGGTTTGCAATTAACCAATCATTTCCTTTATGGTTTGGTGTTTTTGTTCCTTAATAAAAATGCCTTCTTCTAGCCGAAGACAGTGAAAATAATCTGTATTTTCACCGACAAGATTAAAAGTTTTGTTGGTCACCTTTAGGTCCTTAATTCACCTAGACATTGTTTTTGTGGGTGTTGTGAGGTGAGGACCTTGTTTATTCATGTACTTATTTATTGTGATTTGGATGGTCAATTTTCCTACTACTGTTTATTGGCTGTTGCATTTTTTTTAATGCACAAATCTCCCCTTAGAAATGAATCTAATCCTGGCCTCTGTATTCTATCCATTGATATGATGTTGTGCTTTCTGACTTCTTTTCTTCCCTTTTCTTCTTTTTCCTCTTTCCCAGCATTTTCAGATTGACGGGTTGGTCTTCATTCTTACTCATCTCTTAGTGCTCCACCAATTTAAAAGTTCTTACTTCTAAGCTATTCTTTAGAGATTATCCGTAACATCATCACACTCAACCTTGATTTAGCAATGTCAAAGTTTATAATACATTTGCCTATCTCTCCCCAAATATAAGCATGTTAGTACACTTAAGCACCTATCCCCCCTTTTATCTTTCATGGTATTGATAACTAATATTTGATTCCATCCTGCTTACACCACCTCATCACTCATCATCTTGGTTTCTACAGTCAAGCCTTATTCAGATTCCTTTGCGTGATTCTCAACTTACTTGCTAATCATTGCTCCTTGCATTTCTCTCATTCACTCTCAGCGTACCTTGCAAATATTTCACTGGTTTCCAGTATCCATTGCTACTGCCAGTCTAATTGTTGTACCTTCGTAGACATCTTTCTTTTCTCTCTGCTTGCTTTTAAAATCTGTGTTTGATGTTCTGTATTTCTCTATACATCTAACTGAGGTTTGTATTTTTCCTTACCCTCAGAGTTCAGTGTGTTACTTTATTAGAAAGACTCATATCTTTCTTTTAGTTGGGATACTTCTGAGCCATGATCTTTAAAAATATTAATTCTTCCCTTTTATATAGTCTCTCTTTTTTGGATAACCTATTAGATACATGTTGGACAAATTTATTCTACCCTCCATATCTTTTAACCTTTATTTCATATTTTCTATGTCTTTATTTTTGCTGAACCATATTTTGTCATTTTCCAGATCTAACTTCACTAATTCTTCCTTATTATGATTCTAAGTTGCCATTTATCCCTTCCATTGGGTTATTTTTTTCCCACAGCTACAGATTTTTCATCTTAAGCAATTCTCTTTGTGTATATATATTTTATAAGATGTACCCATCCTTTTTAACATAGTACAAGGCTCTTTCATTTTGCTTATAATTCTTTTTTTACTTTATGAATATTCTTTTTTATTACTTCCTAGTACTTCTAATTGTGGGATTGTTAGAACTTACCAATATTCATCCTCATTACCATTTTAATCAAAAAAAGCCAAAAGTAGCCCCCATTTTCTCATCTTAAAATAGTGATGCCAGCACCTACCTCCTAAAGTTATTATACAGATGAAATAAAATAATTCATGAAAAAACAAAACAAAACAAAACCCAGCACAATGTCTAACATACAACAAAAACAAAACAACAAACAAAAGTGGAGGGAAAATATTCTCAGGAAATGCTAATTAGTATCATTAGGAAATTTGCTAAATGAGTATATGAATGCACGAAAAAACCTTAGCAATTCATACACTAAGGGCTATGCATCCCAGATTCTGGAAAGCAAAATTCTGTGAATATGGGAAGCAATGGGATTTCAGTCTACAGCTGAAGATATGTGGGCCTCTGCCAGTATCCAGGTCCTGGGGAACATGCTGCTGGTCCTGGGGAACATGCTGCTGGTCCTGGGGAACATGCTGCTGGCCTTGGGATTCAGGTGGCATTTCCTAGCTCCCCTCTGCACCTCTGTAGAGTAACAGCTCTCTGACATGCTCCTGCTTGTCAGGTGTGCTAGAATTACAGGGGCAGTAACTTCCCACCTCCTTTGGGAATATTATTTACACCCGTGTAATTTTGCCACACCACTTGCATATCACAACCATATTTTCTACTGTTGGAAGAGAAAAAGCAATTTGGGTTAACAGGTCTCAGGGCAGAGAACTGAAGTTGAGGAACAAAAGCAGGTTAATACCTTATTAAGACTCAAGATTTGAATGAGGCAGCTCTTCTGAAGAGATCTAAAAAACCACTTCCCATTGCCAATGTGGGGTGCTCAGGCTGTAGTCTCTAAGTGTTACCTGCTCATCAAATGTTCCACTCTGTGGGCTCACCCAGGTTAATTTCTTCAACTGCGCTTTAAAGTTGTCTCTTCTTGAGAGCAGAGGGGAAAATCGGGTAGCGTCTCATAGAGTGTGTCCTGTTTAGGAAACGGAAATGAGGCTAGGTGACCAAGAGGTGGGGGAGTCAGGGCTCAGAACAGGCCTGTGACTTTCTCCTTTTCGTTTCTCCCACAGTGACCCCGGCTGCGAAGACATGAGGAGCGGCTGGACGAAGGTGAGGGAACTGGCAATATGTAGCCTTGAGAAGAGATTGGGAAAAAACATGATGAATGCCTTCTCCTATCCATACAATGTTTCAGTGGAAATAGATTTTATCTGTGAGGCTCTAAAAACTGAAAGTATATGCCATCATTTATTAAGCCATCTCTTACTGAACACCTGCTCTGTACCAGGCTCTGTGTTAGTGATGGCCATACTAGTGGTAATTTAGTATACAAGTGAATATTATATGCCCAGTGTACAAGGTGGGTTTTTTTTACCTCACTTAATTTTCACAACTGTAGGGATTGTATTGTCTCATGTCCTTACAAACCATAATGTTGCTTCCCATTGTTGGGAAGCAGATTTTTGCTTACCATGGAAGGCACTGAGATTTAATGGAAAACATACAGATTTGTAGCAACATAAACCCAGGTTTATTTCCCAAATCTGTCACTTATTAGCTCTGTTACCATGATCAGCTTAATTCAAATTCTCTTAGACTCAATCTGCTCACACATAAAATGGGCTAATCAGACTGCCTCACAGGATACCCACAGGATCAAAATGAGATGTAGTTATACAACATGTGTTAGAAATAAACATTTATTGAGCACTTTTTGTGCCAGAAATATGCTAACCAATTTATAAACATCTTGTTTAATCCTCACAACATCCCCTCTAAAGTACAAAGAATTCTGATTTCTTTTAAGGAAACTAAGGCTCACAAAGATAAATTTTTTACCCAAGGCCATACAATTTCTAAGTGTCATGGTTGGCATCTCAAGTCCATCTGTTTTACTATACAACCTGTGTTCTTAACCACTGTCTGTCAAACAATTGGGAACACCAATACCTGAAAAATAGCAAAAATGTTCACCATTTTTAAAGGTTTTGAAGAGTATTGGTTTTGAAGTGGTTCTTATGTTGTTAAAGAAGTTAGAGGAGGCTGTTGCTGAAGTGCTTTTCACCTCTGCATTCATCACTGACGTACCATTAATCTCGGCACGAATTTTCAACATTAACTTTCTGAAACCTCCACCATGCTCAACACTTGATGCCTCCTTTCTCCTCAGCTAGACATGCATACTGGCACTGGTGATCCACACTGATCCTTCCAAATCCCATCTCTTGGGCTAATTCAGTGACCATTGCTATTTCTTACCCATCCGGGCATCCTCCCTTCCCTCCTTGATGCCTGTGTCTTTAGAGTGGGAGGGGCTAATAACTGGGGATGCAGAGTTACCCCAGCCCCACTACCAGTCAAAATATACATCTTAGGGAAACTTGTTGACCACAAGATAATTTCCTTTCACATCCACAGACTTCTTTAATAGTTTGTATAACTGGAAGCTATGTTATGATGTTTACATTACAGGCGTCCCACCTGATCTTTCTCTTGGACCTGATCTGGCTTCAGGAGAAACAAAGGTCTTTAAACATAAGTGAGTGACAGAAAGAAGAAAACAGAGCCTTCCCTTCAATAGAGGAGACTCTATGTGAGGAGCTGGAAGGACCATGGGAAATGTTCTATCTGAACTTTTCTTTCTACTGTTGTGGAACCTGAAGACCAGAGAAAGCAACACACTTGTCGAGTGTCTTACCTTTAATTTCCTACCTATTTTGTTTGCCTTTTTCCCTGCCTCTCAGTCCCAACAGTACACACAAGTCACTGAAATTATTCTGTCTAAAAAGTTATTTGGATAAATAAACCCCAGGTCTTAAAAATGTGACAATTTCATGGAAGATTAAACTACACTAGTCATTTTTTTAAATTAGATGAATATTCTCAAAGAGCAAAGCACAGTGAAAAGAAAAAAGACTTCTGAGTCTACCTGAGTGGTTTGAAATGACTCTCTCTTATTCAGTCACTATTTGACCTTGAGTGACATACCCAGTGTCATTGGTCTCATTTCTCTATGCTAAAGAAGGAGGATAATCCCTTCCTGATGTGGACTGCTGAGAGGATTAAACAAGTTTCTGTAATTAAAAGTGCCTCTCCTCTGGCTGGCACACAGTAGGGTCTTCGGTAACCAAGAGTCTTTCCTTGAACAGAATAAGATTCAGTTGCTCCTAAGAGGGCTTGGTAAGTGTTGCGGTGAGGTGAGCTCAGAACACAGGCAAGGGACCAACAAACCCTCAACAACAGACCCGTGTTAGGGCTAACCACACCCAGATTCACAACAGCACACAAGAAGTGCACACCAAAAAGAATAAAAACATACTTGACTTCCAGGGAGTGGGGATACTTCTACGAATCCCAAGTAGCTGTCTTTCTAAGCTTCGCAGCCTGAGAAGGTCTCCCTCATGGGGCCCTGAGTGCACCTGCCAAGGGCCCTTCCAGCTTTGCAGCACTAGATCATTTGGGAGGAGGACATATACCTGTTGGGCTGAAGGAGAAGCAAAAGGCCTGCTTCCTCTCTTGGAGCCTGGGAATCCTAACCATTGCCCTGGGGGACGTCCCTGGCAGCCTTAGCTGGAGTGATCTGAGCCTGGATGAGCCATGATATCGAGTTCCAGTAAAACCCACAGAATGTTCTGAACTTGTGACTAAGCCTGAGCCAAGTAAACAACCCTCAACATCCACCTCAAGAAGGATGATGATGTGTGGTATGGCCTAGTAATATCTTCTCTCAAAAAAAAAAACAAAAAATGAGAGAGCCGAGAGGCTATACTTTGCCCTTTTCAACACTCTTAAACAATGACATACTCAGCCTCTCTTTCATGCTAATCATTGCGTTAGGAGCTCTGTCAGCTGGGAGTTCACATAAACTGTGTTCCCTGAAGCCCAGATTCTCCTGAGAACCACCATGGGCGTAACTGTGAGCTGAGCAAGCTGTGCCTGGCTGCAGCTCCCCTGAGTCAGCCCGGACAGCTTCCCTTTTATCTGTTTTATTTTCCTGGTCTTCCTCAAAACATGCTATGAAAAGATAAAAATGTAGAGTCCTGCTTTTTCTTTTAAAGTATGGAAACAGAATCTAGGACAATGATATTAAGTTAGGGGGGGCATTGGGCATGTCATTTAGAGCTAAAAAGAGGGGGAAAAAACAGCTGCTATTTATTGTTCATTGTCTACCAGACACTTAATCCTCACATGACCCTACGAGGGAGTTACTATATTAGCCCTATTTTAGGGAAGGGGGACTGAGGTCCAGAAAATCTGCGTAAACTCGTTCAAATCAGATAGTTAATAAATACGGTCCAGAAGAACATTGAGTTAGAGCTTGTGCTCCTAATCTCCATGCTACGCTGACCCCTCTCCCTAATCTCCCTCTGTGACCACCAGGTTGTCACCCAGCTTCCCATTTCCATCCCTGGACTGTGCCATATTCAGGTTCTGCTCAGATGTTCTCTCCTGGAAAGAGGGATCTTCCCAGACTACCCGACCTAAAATAGTGCCCTCTGTGGTCAGTCTGATTATTTTCATTGCCTTGTTTTCTTCCTTAGTCCTTATCCCAAACTGATTAAATATTTGCATATATATTTGTTTAGGGTCTCTGGTCTGTGGCCCTGCAGAATATTAGCTCCTTGAGATCAGGGGCTTTGTAAGCTTCCAGATGATGGTCCACCCCTGACAATTGGATCAGAAACAATCCCTGAGGAAATAACTATGTAAGGGGGTACAGGAGTTGAAGAGGGAAAGATCTGGATTGAGAAGGGCAGTATGGTATAGGGTGATAAGCCTAGGATACAGAGTCAGATAGCTTTAAGTTGACTCACAGCTTTGCTATCCGTGAGGTGTGTGCCCATATACAAGTTTTGGTTTCCTCATTTGTAATAGGGATAATTACCTCAGACTCAACAATGCTATTGTGAGGATTCAGTGAGATGGCATACCTTAATAAATGATTCTTTATTGTTTACTTAATTCATTTTTTCCTAGAGCTGGTCCTGAAAGCATAGTAAGCACACAAGGTAAGCATTCAGTAAACACATGATGGATGAAATGCTGGTCATACATAGTTAATAGAGAGGCTATGTTGTGTTACATAAAAAGTAACGAGAAAAAGCAAGGAGACCGGTAACTAAGCCCAATTCTGCCGTAAAACTAGATGTGTACCTTGGACAAGTTGCCTCACCTCTTGGGCCCATGTTTCTTCCTGGTAAAATGAGGAGCTTGGACAGGATGATGTATAAGTTCCTTGCATGTGTGAAATCTATGAAACTGAAAACATCCCATAGCTGATCTGGTTTCCCTGAGATTTCCAGTAGCAAACAATCTCGCCCTGATTATTGTCAGGAAGCTGGAATGACCTCCCATGCTATTTATTTGCTTCCTGGTTTCCAGTCCAAATAAAAATTCTTTATACTACTCACATCAGAGAATAACCTCTGGTGGTTGGACAAAGGATAGGGATATTTACAATGGGCCATTAATTCACTCACTTATCTGGGTCTCTGAGGGTCGTTCTGGATTGGTGAGCCTCTTGACTAGGTTGAAGGAATTCCACCACCCTTTGTACTTGCCCTCAATGAATGGGAAAGGCATGAGATGTATTGAGGTTGTCTTGGAGACTTCTTTTCCAAGTCTGCCTTAGAAAGTTCAGTGATTTTTGTCCCTATTTCATTGTTTCTTTTGACATGCTGATTTATGGGAAGAGGCTACTGCCAAGGATTTTGCTGTTTTAGAGAGTCATATTGGTGACCTGATGTGGAAGTTTTGCATCCTCAACCATCATTTCCTTAGCCATCATTGCAAAGAAACTGATATTTCTGCCTTGTCCTGTATTCAAATAACTACATAACCATAATGACTTCTAAAAATTCAACAGAGTAATTACTGTTTTACAAATTTGTGTCATATGGCCAGTGGACTAGTAGATACATCTCACTTATAAAATACAGATTATCTGAAAACTGATATTGTAAGTCTCACCTTTTGTTTGAACAAATCATTTTCGTATAGATTATTGGATCCTTGTGGAAGTTGCATGGAACTGATATTATTACAGATATTGTTACAACCCCATTTTTCATTTGTTGAAGCTGAATTTCAGAATGCCTTTAAGACTTGCCTAAAGATGGAAATTAAAGCCTGGGTTGTCTGACTTAAATCCTTGACTGAGGTGAAGGAGAGTGAAGGAGATTGGAAAAGAACCTTGGCTAAAATTCCTTTGTTGACCAAACCAGGAGACAGTATTGTTTACAGCATCTTCCCAACATTCTTGTCACTGCAGAGGACACAGAAAATTTCTAGTAAAGGGAAATGACAGTAGCAACCAGCCAGCTACTTTCATAAGTACCAATAAACGAAGACCTGAGTTGCTTTCGATTCCATGGAAATTCAGCAGGAGTACAGAGGTGAGAAGCTGGGGTGGGGGTAACAACTCGAAAGACACCTGCTATGGAGTCACCTGGACCAAGTTTGAAACCCAGCTGTGCCACCTGACAGCTGTGTGATTTTAGGCAAATGATTTCCTCTTTCTGTGCCTTGCTTTCTTCGGAGATGAATAAGAATACCTTCCTTACAAACTCATTATAAGAATCAAATATGGTAATGCACATAAAGTTCAGGGCAGAGCCTCTGGAACAAACTAGTAGCTACAATTATGTGTAATTGTGAACAAATCATTTCACTTCATTGGGCCTCAATTTCTTTACATATAAAATAAGGTGGCAGGACTAGGTGAATTCCAGTTGTTTTTCTTCAAGCTGTACACATGCTTTTGACTGTATTCCATGGAATAAGAGAGAGTTGGAATTGTTAAGAATTTATAGAGTGACATGTCGCTGATACATGTTAAGGTGGGTAGCAGGACCTTAAGAGTGAGTAGAAGGTGGCTATGTTCATTACATCTCCTTGATAATAAGGATGATATTTTAAAAAGCTATCTTCTATTGAGCACCTGCTAAAATACATATCATCTCATTAATTCCCCATGAAAACCCTATAAAGCAGGTAATATTGGCTCATGTTACATATGTAAGAAGAGTAAAGCTCAAATAGTTTAACTGACTTGTTTAAAGCCACCCAGATCATCCATGGTGCATCAAACCATTTCCTCTGGCTGGCTCTCATGCCCTTTGCAGTATCCTGGGCTGGTTCTATTCATTAAAATAGCTATTTAATCTCCATATGACCTTTGTTTTCCTTATTCCATGTCGACCTCTCTTTCCATGCTCATCCTTCTACCTAATAACAATATAAAGCATATTTAAATAAATGCACCCTTTGCTGCATTGTGTGCTTTTGTGTGATCTGTTATTATCTACTTAAATCTATGTCTTTATTGCATAATTCAGCATTTTAATATTCACTTTGAAAAGTGTTTTGAGTCACTTCCCTGCAAAGGTGCTGTATTAAATCACATTCATTATTCTTGCTAAATGTAGACAAGTCATGGTTCAGCTGAACTAGAAAGTAACTCCCATTATCTTCAGTACATTCCGTCACATTCGTTATTCTCTGTGACATTTATCAACACAGCATTTAGGCATTTTAAAGAAAAAAAATCACGTTAAATTCTAATGCATTTAACTAACACTGAGCCAAATTCCACAGGTGAAAAAGTCATTTCCTTGCTACAGGTTACTATGTTGTTTTAACTCTTTTAGAGCACAATGAGAAGATGTAAACACAAAGTGCTAAGAATCAGGGTTTTCTGAACTATTTATTAACTATTGGACTTACATTGCATCATGCTTACAACTATGCTCATCTTATTCTTAATAAAGTGTGACTCTGTATTTACCAAGGGTACTGAGATTGTATCAACCCTCTCTCAGATCCCCTTTGCCACCTCCATGTATTCTTTTTTCATTCTTTTGCAAAAGTTCTCTCTTTTAAGGGACATGCCATCTGGCCTTTGTGCTTTTCAACTGTCGCCTTGACTAGCATGTACCAACCTCACTCTCTTTATTCACGGAGAAATCACAACCATACTATGGACTCCAACTCTGGTCATCTTGGATGCTACAGAGAGTCAACATGGTCTTAGGCTGTCTTGAGATGAGGACTCAGACCCAAGTGACTTATGAAGGCAGTACCCCCGGGAGAATCAGGTAAAGGAATGGGGGAGGCAGAGCAAGAAGGAGATGTCTGATGAAGTCCTGTGGAAGGGAGCTTCATCTTCCTCCTGAAGGGGACCTCTGGAGCATCGATTTTACCTCAGCCCAGAAAGTAGTCTGTTCCCACACCCTTCAGGCATTGGTCAAGGGCCACTGGGTATAGGGAGGGAGGCTATAAACTCCCAGAGACTGTCTGCGTGTGTGGGCTAAGCTGCTCCTGTAGTCTAAGGGCTGTCCTCTGGAAAGAAGATAAACCCCAGAGAAGTGGGTTGGGGCTTGAAGAAATTCTAACAGGTCATCCGAGAGAATAGGAGTTCAGTACCAACAGGATCCACTAGAGGCAGTCACAGGGATCAGCCATCCAAAGCCTCACACCCTAATTCCTTGACATTTGTGTTGGTTTGCTAGAGCCGCCAAAACTGAGCGCAACAAACCAGAAGGCTGAAACAGCAGAAATTTATTATCTCACAATTCTGGAGTCCAGAAGTTCAAAGCCAAGGTGTTGATAAGAGTGGTTCCTTCTGAGGGCTGTGAGGGGAAGATCCCTTCCAGGGTTCTCTCCTTGGCTTATAGATGGCTGTGCTTTCCCTGCATCCCCTCCCATCATATTCTCTCTACGCACATCTCTGTGTCCAAATTCTCCTTTTTATAAGGACACCTTTATATTAGGATTATGGTGATTATATAATAATTATTCTGTATATTATTAGGGACCCACTCTACTCCAATATGACCTCATCTTAACCAATTATATCTGCCGTGACCGTATTTCCAAATAAGATCACATTCTGAGATACGGAAGATTAAGACTTCAACATATGAATTCCATCTAT